ATAGTTGCATATACTCGTACTGACTGTTGTTAAATATACATATTTCAAGTTTTATTTCTTGCTTTTTCAGCAACGATTTGTCAGCTACATAAGTTAAATAGAGTAGAACGAGAAGCTGAAAAGTACCCGTTATCTTAGCATTAACCCGAAAAATATCGACCTGACTACGAAGCAACGTCAATGATAATTCATGGCGGATGTCTCTGTCTACTACATTTAGGCCTTACATACTCACAGATACATATTCACATGTAAAATACGCTTTAGACTGTATATAGAGTAATGTACGAGAGTAAAATTTTCAGAATTGATAATTTAATTTGATCAATGATGATTTAATTTAAGGCACCATAATATAGTGAGCCGAAATGTGAATTTAAAATTGTAACAATTGTAATTATCACAACTAGTAGCCCAAATGAGGAAATATTTTTGTATAAAAAGTCGGGTAGTATTTTTGTTTTAAATTTAAAATTTGGGCTCAATAAATGTGCCTCAGAGTTAAGAATATTTCCTCTAGCATTTGTAAATACAGGCAAGTGTTGGAACGTGTTGTCTAGATAAACAATATTATAAGAACGAAATGATTAAATGATTTTCTGATAGGCTAACTGAAATTAATATTTGGACGCCGCCAATAAACCAATCCAAATTTCCACATATTTCAATTACATTCATATAAGCATTCTGCAAAACCCTGTTCAGTTTTTTGTCTCCACTTCATTGTCGCCCTTCGAAATGAACCTCTTTCAAGAATTTGTTCTCTAAACGTTTTGCATTATTTCCTTTCCAAATTAGTTCGTAGAATTTATTTTTCGAAATTGGATAATTTTTGTTTAATGAGATTTTAGTTTAGCTCTTAAATTGCTTAAATAATTAAATTACCTTACAGTAAAAAATATCCAAAAAAGGTACAAGCAATTTATCTTATTTTGTGTGCCACTTCTTACTTCTCCCTTTTGGCCAAGTTGTTCAAATTATTCTCATAATTTCCACGAACAAACACAAATTAGAGGTCCTTGTTCCCGTAACTCTTTAGATCCTTTTCTCCTTTACATTGTAGTTCTGGATCCCCAGTGGCCAATTTGTATGCCGCCGTATGTCCTTACGTAGATCGGGTAAGACTTAACAAAATTTTCGTGTCCAAATGGAAGAACGCAGTGCTTTCTAAAGTACAGTGTATGAACACCTGGGGACGCAACTCGTTTCTGTCGGAGGGATGATGCGGGATATTCTGGGGAAGTCAAATTTTAAAATTAAATTTATTATAATTTTCAAAATATCATATATCCGTAAAATTTTTATGAAAACCTAAAAAGCGATGATTTTAAAAATAAAAAGCTGAAAAAGCTGTTCTTCACACACGCTTAGTTAAGCTGGGATGGAAGAATGTGAGATGAAATCTTTCCTTTTTGCAACATTTTCGGTCTGATAAATATTTAGCGATTTAAGCTCAAGATATGTGCAAAAAACACATGTAGACCTTCAATCGATGGGTCTATTGTGTGATTTTAGTGAAAACTGGAGGGTGTTGAGACCTATTTTATTAAAACTCCCTAACATATAATTTCATAGGACTCCAGTCTGCATTTCTCGAATTGTGTCATGAATGTAGAAAGAAAGAGGGACCATACGAATTTAATAAGCCTTTCGCAGTGTTTCGAATGCACCTAACAATCAAACCTGGATGGCATTTCGCGTCTCGGAGTGGCCAACTATGTTACTGGGCGTTGTGCGCCATCTCTGGGCAATTATAAATATCACTATATGTTGTTCATGGATTCTACACCAGGCATCACTAGCACTCAGTCTCTAGGAGTTCAGTATTGCACATGCCCATGACACGCTTTACGTACTACAATGGGAATGACACATGACTGTATGTGCAAATTCTCACATGGCCATTATTTACTGGCAAAATTTAAAGAACTGCATCAACGCCACACGATTATTACTTGGCGAACACTTAAACAGATATAACACAAAAACGAATGGGAGAGCACATAATTGAAACTGTCGTTTTTCTTTCTTTCTCAGTGAAATGAATACTTTTACAAAGAAGACAAAAGATTTTCCATCATTAGATCTTTGACCAAATTACAGATCTCTGTCTTGTACATCTTACTGACATACACAGCACTCTCCTCTTGGCGAACCTGTGGACAAATTAAGTTCCTTCAGCATAGCTCTAGGCTCTGTGGAATAACTTCGATGAGGGAAGTGCCTGGATTCCCCATCATTGCATTTACATGTTCAGAACCTTTCCTTCAACTGCAAATGTGTTCGCTGTTGCTGGTGATGGGTGGACTGCAGTTTTTCTGAGGAGGTGGAAAGACTAAACTGACATTTCTTTTTTCTTTTGGGGAGGGGGGAGGAATTTGGAAGGTTTTGTCATTTTGGTTATCTGGCGATCCTATTTACAAGTTTCCATTGCATAGTTCTACATTAAGTGTACTATATTTACTTGCAACATTTGCCATCATAATACATGAACACATTTTTATGCAAAAACAAAGACAAATATTTTATTTAAATATCCACTATATAATTTTTCAAAAATGACAAAAAGATAATTAAAAAGAGATGAAATATTAAAGAGACAAGCATGCATCAGGTCTATCATGCCTGCTGCCAAAGTGGAAATAGAGCAGTTTCTGTACCTTTCTTAGCAGTCAGGTACAAATAGTTTCTGTACACATTAAAACATAGCAGGCAATTTATACCCAGTTTTGTTAATAATAGCAGACACTACAGCGTTGGCAGTTTTCAGGCATATGAGTATCTTAGCTGTAATAGGAACAGGCACATTGCTAGTGTGAAAAGTTTCTACATTTACATTCACATAAAATTCCATATGTAATTCTTGAATCGTTTCTTTTTAAAATATTCAGAGGAATACAGTCCATGATTTGTACCCATGTGTGCAATTTTTCCTCATCATCTAAAGCATATGGGAAGAATGGAAATTTTAAACATGACATAAACAAATATAAAGGGGTTGACAAAATACTGGAAGCACTGAGAAACTGAGAAATAAACTTTGCGTTGGCTACACTGACGAGGAATGCGTATAGGATATTGGTGGGAAGGACCAAGGCATAGGTGGGTGGACAATATTAGAATGGATCTTAGAGAGATAGGATGGGATGGTATGGATTGGATAGATCTGGCTCAGGATAGGGACCAGTGGATGGCTCTTGTGAACATGGTAATGAACCTTTGGGTTCCATTAAATGCTGGGAAATTCTTGAGTAGCTGCAGAATTGTTGGCTCCTCCAGAAGGGCTCAGCTCCATGAGTAAGTAAGTAAGTTGGCTACACTGAAAGAGCTTCAGTTGGCAATGCTGAATGTTCTTCTTCCATTTGTTTACACTCTGTAGTGCTCACGTCAGTGTGTTAGTGATTGTGTGAGTGACAGTCCATGTGAAAGATTGGGAAAATGGGAGACCTGTCTGATTTTGAGAGGACAAATCATTGGTGCGTGTTTAGCTGGAGCATCTGTAATGAACACTGCCACATTATTAGGTGTATCAAGAGCAACAGTTTCTAAGGTTATGTCAGCATACATGAATCATGGGAAGACAACATCAGCGGCGAGGAACAGTGGGTGAAAATGAACATTGACAGAGACTGTCATAGACTGAGGACTGTTTCTTAAAATCAGAGAACTACCACAGCACAGGTGACAAGACAGCATAACTGAATAGTGATCTTGAAGACCCTGTTTTCACAAAAACTATCTGAAGTGAGCTTCATTAATTCAACATTTACAGTAGGACTGCAATTGATAAACTTCTGATTACTGAAAGTAATACTCAGATGCATAAATGATGGTGTCAAGTTCATAAAACCTGAATATCAGACAACTGGAAACACATGACACATCCTTCATGCTGTTCCCTACATTTGAAAGAGTTTATGTTTTGAGAACACCCAAGGAAGCCTGATAATGGTGTATAACACACAGAGTTACTGGGTTTTCAGACCTTTTCCATTGTCTAGTACTCTAGAAACTAGAAAACACATTTCAGAAACTGGACTGTTTCCATCCTCATGTGGGGGGGGGGTGGAGATGCCTACTCAGTTGGATCCTGAGAAAGACCTAACCTCAATCACTGGACAACCCTTGGCAGATTCACACAGCTATTTAATCATCTGAGATCAGGTTAATTCACCCGGAGATAACAAGAAAATGTGCAAAAGAAATTGTGACAGAGCATGCACATGCGTGGAACTAGGATAGAAAAGGAGGTAGAAATTTGTACTACAAACCCAACCAATAAAACCAAGTGCATGAGCACCAATCCAAAGAAATGGGAAAATTTTGTGAAGACGTGTAGTATCTACCGCTAGCACCATCTGTGGAGTAAAACGTGAACACTCAAGACTAAAACCTTATGGAAACCCATGAAAAAACTGCCATGTCATACAGATCTTCTATGCGAGTTACAAACTGGGTTGGCTGATTTCTATGACTCTCTTTATAAGCATGTTGGGCTAGTTTTCATCTTTCTAGAAGACCTTGTTGGAGATTGTGCCTGTGTTCGAGGAGCCGTGCAGCTAGATGTCTCCCTGTTTGGACAATGTAGCTTCTGCCACATCCACAGGGAATACTTTAGCTGCACTGTGTCTCTCGGCTTGCATATATCCCATAAGTGAAGGGTGTTTCAGAGAAGTTCAGACATATAGGGAATCACTGTAACATAAGAATGATCTTCAAAACTAAACTCTCTCTTAGGAGTTCACTCACGAAAACCAGGCTGGAAGGAGATCCACAACAGATGGCACAGCGCATCTACAGTATTCCCTGTAGTGGAGTATTGACAAGAGGGTAGAAATACATACAGCCACATCTAACTACCTCAACCATTCTTGACCCTGGCACCAGACAGAGGTGAGTGGACAGCATGATGGACTGGCGAGTTTACTCGCAAGGAACAAGCCTACAGTAGCAACTGGATAGAAGGTTGCATGGATCCCAGAGCCAGTCTGGATGCTGTGCAGAAGAGAAGAATCTATTGCTCATGCTAGGAACTGAAATTTGGTCATCCAGACTGTAGCCTGCTGCTATACAAACCAAGCAATTTATTCTTTCTTTTGAATTTAGGCAAATTAAGTTAGTTTTAGATGCCATTTAGTTTACCAGGCGGTAAAGTTGTACCCAAATTCCACTATACATTGAGGGTTGAGAGACTTAGCTTCACAACTGATTTAATACTGTAGGAAACTGGAGTTTCATGAATCTCAAGAATAACATAGTTATATAACCCTGCAATACTGCTACATTCAGGGTTTTACAGTGCTGGTATTTTACACTACCATTTCAGTTACTAGGCAATTTCTACATGCCTGTGGGATCATGCTCTATGATACTGTCACGTGTATTAGTGTGTGACTAGAGATGGGTTCTGACTGATGACCTGATTTATTGCACACTTGTAGTATAACTCACTACTACACTTCACAAATCACTATATGACACACTGTGTCTTCTCAGTCTCTTACAGTCTTCATTAACCATTTCTTGGTAACAGACATTAATGATGGTTATTCCTGTCCTTCTGTCTTCAAGTCCCATACAGGACTCCTGTTAACTGTCAACTGAACTGGGTCCCAGGCTGGCAGCAATTTCACACCAACCTTCTAGCCTTCTCTTCACACGCTGACTTAAACTGACAGCTGCACTCTCTCACTCATAAAGCAGCTACTTCACCTCACATCACTCAATTGAGCTGTAGCATCAGTTGTCTTCAAGACAACTTCTCAGAATGGACACGCAGAAACAGCCCCTCTATTGTTGTAGAGGCGTGATTACCACACTGTTGCATAGCAACAGTCATGGTGTGGACCATACAGAAAACACCATCTTCTATTGTTGAATGCATGTATGCTGTGGGCATTATCTAGCAACGTCTGCTGTTTACAGAGTTACTGCTTAGCAACGGGTCTATACACCACAATACTGTACTCAGCACAATTCATAATATTTTTGGATGAGAAATCATTATTCCCACCAAGCTACAGTAACACGCAGTTGAAAAAGAATATCCATCATTTATGCATTAAGATGTTCTGAATCAGGTAAAATGTATGACACAAAGTACGATTCTTGTTATTTTATATCAGATTTCTCCTGTTATAAAAGATCTGTCAGCCAAGTGATCTTGTACACTATGAATGGTACTACCTGGAGCCTTAGTGCCATCTCCGAGTTATACATAAAATGAGGGTAACTTTTGTTTTAAAACTCTCACTGCATCATTGTCATTTTCATCTTTACATTGGTGTTTACATGGTTTTCCTCATACACACCTAAATTCTGGTAGCACCTGAATTCCAAGGCTTTGTCAATCACTGGCCAACATTAATTCTGAGACATCCTTTCTACTTCAAAATTCGGTCTTGTTGTCATAGACAACTTTTTTTCAAATTTACATTCATAAATTGTGATATCTCGCTCATAGTTTACACCATAATGTGTCCCATGGTTCAGAGTGAACGGTTGGTGTGAAAGCCTCTTATTTAGTCTTTGAAGTAACTGAGCTCTCACATCAGGATAATCTTGTGACAATGTTTCCATAATCAAGTTGTCTGCTTCTAAGGTATTCATATTTATCTGAGGCAGCATCGCCTTTTCATATGAAGTTTAAGTTTATACTGATCTGGGAACCCTTTCCCACATATTTCGCAGAACTCTGTGCGATCTTTCTTGTGGGTCTTCTCATGCCGGGCACACACCTAAATCAACACAAAAAAAGTTTTGAATCTCAGTACAAGAATCAGCTAATAAGAAATACAGATATTAAAAATGAAATCAGAGTTTGTCGCTTTAGAAAACATGATAAATTTCACAGCACAGAAAAAACTCTACTTAACTGTAATATATAATATGGAAGACACACAAACACACCTAAAACATCAACGTGAAACAAACCTGATAAATGTTTGATCACAATATCATGCTGCTATGGAATTAAGAAAATATTCAGAGTAAACTAACTGGGAAGTATGTATTATGTGTCATTCACTCTTATCAGCCATGAAAGTTCTTCATGCCCATTTATATGTATCACCACACTTGATTCTTTAGTAAGAGGATTTCTGATTTGACTATGGTATTGTACTCAGACAATGTGCAACTTGTCACTGATATACAAAAGTTTTGTATGCCTCTGTGGCACAACCTAAACCCCAGAACAGTAATGACATTTTAAGTAAGCTGCAAATGAGTTGTAAGAGTTTTCTAAATTTAATTTAGTGTTTGGTAAATGCAAGAATACAAAAGATTAGACCAAAGGAATGGTGGCTCTTTACTGTGTTTCAATTAATGTGACTGGAAAGTAAAGGGTGTTTCACTCGGGGCGGAACCCGGCATTTTGTTAATTCCTTGGATACTAATATAGATATTGCAATGAAATTTGGAGTGGACTTACCTCAGTTCATGTGAAGTCTGGTGACATCATAACAAGTGCTGGAAAAGGCCACCATTTGCGTCCAGACAGCATTGGACTCGGCGTGCCATGGTTTGGAAAGTCCTTGCCCATACGTCAGGTGTCACTTCTTGGATGGCCTCACTTATGATTACTTTTAAAGCCTCTATGGTTCGCGGTTTGTTGGCGTAAACTTGCACTTTCAAATTTCCCCACAAAAAATAATCAGGCGGCATTAGATCGGGTGAGTGCGGTGGCCAAAGTCCCCTGGAAATGACGCTCGCCCAATCTAACACCTCCTGATTATTTTTTGTTGGGACATTTGAAAGTGCAAGTTTATGCCAACAAACCGCGAACCATAGAGGCTTTAAAAGCAAACATAAGTGAGGCCATCCAAGAAGTGACACCTGACGTATGGGCAAGGAGTTTCCAAAACATGGCACGCCGAGTCCAATGCTGTCTGGAAGCAAATGGTGGCCATTTCCAGCACTTGTTATGATGTCACCAGACTTCACATGAACTGAGGTAAGTCCACTCCAAATTTCATTGCAATATCTATATTAGTATCCAAGGAATTAACAAAATGCCGGGTTCCGCCCCGAGTGAAACATCCTTTACAATGCTGGATGGTTCTATGTTTCATACCTATATTGTGAAAAGAAAGAAAGTACTAATTGCATGATGGCAAACACTGATGTCCTATTAAAACAAACTGCTCTCACTGCAAACCAATATTTAACAGAACACCTTCCTGGGACACAATGACTGATTTTGAGAACATTAGCCAAAATTCTTATTTTCATTTAAAAAGACATTTCAGAAACTGAATTCTGTTTCCATCCTATTCTGGTGGGACTGATCAGTGGAGCAAGTGCCTATTTGTGGAGACCAGAAGCAACATGATATGTAAGTCAAGCACATAGGAAACCATACTGCCTTCCCATCTAGAGTATGACTTCTCCTGGCACTGTATGCCATATCCCCAATGACTGACAGTCTAACATTGGACTAGAACATAATTTCCAAGAATTCCAGACTCAATTTACTCAGATAAGACAAGTTACTATAGTTACCTGAGCAAGGGCAAAAGCCTTTGGACAAAGTCTGCACCTGAACTTTCTGTCCCCAACATGCCGCACCATATGAGTCTTGAGGTTATGTTTCACGTGGAATGTGCGATGACAGACATTACACTCAAACGGTTTCAGTCCTGTGTGAATTCTCTTGTGGTAGTACAATGCAGAGTTCTGTGAAAAGGTTTTGTTACATTCTCTGCATTTATAGGGACGTTCATGCGTATGTACACGGCTGTGAATCCTTAGACATGTCTTATTCGAGAACTGCTTTCCACACTCTGCACACAACAGATCTTTCATCCCTGGAATAAGAGTAAAGACATAAAAATCCCTGCATCATGTCAACTAAATGATATATTTTACAAAACAATGAACTTCAAGATGATTTTGGATATGACCAATCTATATAATTTGAGAGTCAAAAAGAAAATGAATATAGGATCTTGCCATCAGTCCTTAAGGAGCAATTACATCATTTGCATGAAACTAAACAGTAAAATGATCTAACCAAGGCAATTTACACATAGCTCACCAGAGTGTGTCTTATAATGTCGAACCAACCCACTGTGTTCTGTGAAGGCTTTCCCGCACAAATGGCACACCTGGTCTTTCACTCCAAGATGCATCTTCTGATGACTATGCAGTGCAGAGCTCTGAGCGAAGGAACGGCCACAATAGGGACAGCCATATGGTTTCTGTTCTGTTTGCAGTTCTCTGTCATAGTGATGAACACGCTTGTGTCTGGCCACATCATTGTGCAGGAAACGTTTCCCACAGATGTCACAACTATAACGTCGTTCACCACTGTGAATCCGTGCATGCTTTGTCAATTGATAGTTGTGGATAAACGCCTTTTGGCACACCTGATCGAAGGAAAATATCCGAGTATCAACAGACACATCTAAAACTGATATAGGTTTGTAATATCTAATAATGAATGCCATATCCATAAACAATATGTGCAAATCTATCCTATTACTTACTTACTTACTCAAGGAGTTGGCCCTTCTGGAGGAGCCACCAATTCTGCAGCTACTCAAGAAAATCACAGCATTTTATGGAACCCGAAGGTTCATTACCACATTCACAAGAGCCCTCCACTGGTCCCTATCCTGAGCTAGATCAATCCAATCCATACCATCCCATCCTATCTCTCTAAAGGCCTGTCCACATTACTCATGCTCATGCTTGTGCTCACCAGGCTTGTGCTCGTAAATCTTCGTCCACACTACTTCAGTTGCTTGCCAGGCTTCGGCGCATGAGGATCCATATATTTACTTGTAATGTGTATAAGCTGTAGTCGTATTTTAATTTATTGGCTATAGTTTTTAAATTAAAAATTTAAAATGGACAAAGTTGTAGTGAGTGGTGCGAGTTTCCTAGTGATACGCCTGTTAGGTCAGGAACAAGAAAGAAGACACAAGAAACTACCTCAAAAACGCAGATGGTAGATGACGACAGTTTTCAAAAGTCAGGAAATCTACAGTGGAAGTGATCTCTTGGAGGACTTGGGAGTGGAAAATTTATGTTTCAAGACATTTTGCGGTATGTCCCCATCAGATTTTGAAACTCTAATCAATTTGGCGGGACCAAAGATAGCAAAGGCTTACAGCACATTTCGAAAAGCTATTCCAGTTGCACAGCAGTTGGCATTTATGCTCAGATACCTAGCAACTGGTGATTCCTACTCCAGTCTCAGTTTTTATTTAAAGTCTCCAAACAAGTGATATCAAACATTCTTCCTGAAGTATGTGCAGCACTTCTTGACAGTTTGAAGGAGTTTGTAAAGGTAAGTTAATGTGTAATAATGCACATTTCTTTATTCTTTATTCTTTATTCATATTGTGGTCAAAGCCATAAAAATAATTACAAAACATTCAGCGATATCAACGACAGGAACTACAATAGGATTTCAAAATATATAAGGTAGAAAAAATTAACAGTCAAATGAGAGAAACAAGTGAAAATTTGAACAAAAGAATTCATTCGAAATGAAGGAAATCAATCAACTGTGAACTGGCATGTCTGATACTGTCAGGAGCAGAAACAGATGTCTGTTGAGAATTTCACTGTTGGTTGGTCTCTGTATGTTGAGTGCTGATAGTGAATGGTTGTCAAGGAGATGGCATGGACGACGAGTAACTATAGTTGTTATTGCTTGAGCTTGACCTTGAATAGTCGCATGAGGTTCCAGATGATTGTGTTATTGCAGAAGGGGATGTATAAATGCCGCTTTCTGCTTTGAAAATTATGTCTGAGAACTCTTTTTTAACAAAAGCACGTGTCCGTTTATCCATCGATCGCAGAACATTTGCTATGTACTCTCCATAGTTGTTGAATTCATCTCTTTTTTTAGCAATAGTGGCTTGTAGAGCAGTGTACGCCTCTCCTATTCGGGGATCTTCAGTGTTAGCACTTTTTCGCGGAATTTTTCTGGGTGAAACAAATACTTTGTTTTCATTTCGTCTAGGTGGTGCTTTGTTGACTTGTGTTTGTGCATGATCTGTTTCTTGGTTACTAACAAGATCACCTTCATCACTACACATGCTTGCAGCCACTTCAAGTTGGGAGTCAGACGCATCTCCTCCGTTCTGAAATAAAGCAAGGAAAATAGATTGATGTAAACACTAAAAAGCAAGGAAAATAAAATATAAAAGAATAGAGGTAGGACTAGGAAAACGAAGATACAAAATTGATAACAAAGCAAGGAAGATAAGTAAACTAGAATACAGTAGAATGTTCATTATTTTTGTTACATTTTATTATTGTTTGCAGATGCCACAGACATAGGATGAGTGGTTGCTGGTAGCTGAAGAATACGAGAGAAAATGGAACTTTCCTCATTGCGTCGGTGCAATGGATGGCAAACATTGCGCAGTACAATTCCCAGCTAACTCTGGAAGTGACTTTTTCAATTACAAGTTGTTTTTCAGTATTGTTCTTTTTGGTCTAGTGGATGCTGACTACTGTTTTATGTATGCTGATGTGGGATGCCAAGGTCGAATTTCAGACGGTGGTGTTTTTCGAAATACAACTTTTTTTAAAAACATGGAGAACGGTATAGTCTTTTTCCCGGACAGTTGTACTTTTCCAGGAGGATGGAAAGGAGTACCCTACATCATTGTCACAGATGACACGTTTGCCCTCAACAATCATATCATGAAGGCGTATTCTGGACAGCAGTCCAGGGGATCAAGTAAGCGTATTTTCAACTACAAATTTTCAAGAGCAGGTCGGATTGTGGAAAATGCGTTCGGAATGCTTTCTTCCGTGTTCTGAGTACTAAGAAAGCCCAAAGTGTTATTATGGCTTGCATATACCTGCATAATTTCTTGCGAAAAAGTTATGATTCCAGACAAATTTATACTCCTGGAGGAGCACTCGATCATGAAGAGAATGTACACGTAACTCGTGGAACATGCAGAAATGAGATCACGTCTGCTACAACGTTTACACCATTACTGACCATTCCACGACAGTCAACTCAGACTGCTAACGATATTAGAGATGAATTTGCTGCTTAATTCATGTCCAAAGACGGGGGAGTGCCATGACAAGTTTATTATCAATAACTGTTCAAGAATTTGTTATTATTCAATTACCAGACACCTAGGTACTAATAACTACCTACTTATATAGGTACATTTCAAGTACCTACTTATGTGAGTTTTACCTTTATTTTATATTTTTGTAACTGTAATTAAAATGTTCCAGGTGTGAATACACCTATGTTTTGTGAATGAGTTAACATTTTTTCTGTTTTGACTTTCTTCCAAAATAAATATTGTGTAAATTACAAATTTTGGCTATGAAACTAGTTTTACTTACTTCTGTGTTGACTGTCCGCTGAGGTTGATATCTGTTGTGAAGAAATGCGAAGACTTTGTATGCAAACCAGTTTGGGGCGCCACTTCGTCAGCTCCAGAGCCTGATTTTCCGGCAACAGTAAGCTTCTGACGCACTTTCCAGTATGTAGCTAACAAACTGTTCATTTTCTTTTTCAATTCAGCCACTACTACATTAAGTTCCGTTGTGGCTGAATCCCACGCTTCAGTTTTTTTTTTTTTCACTTTATATAAACAGTGGGTAGCATCCCACAGCATTAGGTGTTTTTCATAAACTTTTATGAAGTTAATAGTGGAATCGTTCGTCCACTCCATGTTCTGCACGAGTGCAGAAAGTCGACTGATCAAGGCTCATCATCGTCCACATGACTTGGGCGGCTTGTCACGAACCCCTTTGATGTCCCGACAACAAGTGGAGCCTCAGGAACCAGTGGCTCATGTGGCGTGTATTGCTTGTCTCGTGAGCACGAGCACAAGTAATGTGGACAGGCTTTTACATCCATTTTATTCCAAGTGCCAAATTTCATATCCATTTTCTTTAGCTTAAGTCGTTTATCCAAAGAATCCGTCCAGGTCCGAGGTTCTGTGTTCATTTTAATAACATAATCATATTTTACGGTGAGGAGTTGTTAGCCCCACGCCCAACCCCCAAGCTGGAGGACTGCCCTTCGTCGGCTGTCCGTGATTACTTATTCAATATATTCGCAGCTTCCCTCCAAAACTGGAGGGCATCTCCTTCACCCGCAACCTGAGGACACATCATGCCGTGGTAACAACGGGACCCACCTAATGTGGAAATCTATCCTATTATAAGGGATTATGAAAACAATTTCTTCCATGTGTAAAAAGTCACTGCATCACTATACAAATTGTGGCTCACACAGCGAAGTTCTTCAAAAGAAAGGTTTTAATACTTTAAAAGACTTGTAGGTTTGAATATTTGTTAACATTTTGTCTGATATGGATGAGACAATGATAAGGCACAGTATGCAATAATCTCATTGCTACTTTCAGTTCTACGAGTTATGTTCATGATACAATTTGAATAATACTAAATACAACAACTGCCACCTAGTAAAAGACCCAAAAGTGAAAGTAGTACGATTTGGAAAATTTCTTGCATATAAGTTGAACATGTGAACTGTAATGCTGCTTGCGCATAATGCTCCTACTCAAACTCTCTTTCTTTTGGATTGGCCTGCAAACGTCTTTTTTAGACAGCCTCCATTTTCCCCAGTTGGGAGCTCATCCTGGCCATCATCCTTTCATGACATGCATCTAACTGGGCCAGCATTTATTCTCTCAGGAGTTCTTGGTCAGTGCTCATTTCTTCTTCCAGGTGTTCCTGGCCCACTCTCACTTCTTCCTTCATTTCCTTTAGATTGGCATCCATCCTGGCTTGCTTGGCATACCATCATTTGTTTCATCTCCACAGTATTGCAGTATAACAATCCAATGCAGTTTCCAATCCAACAACTTCTGACACCAGCTGTCATGTGTATGAGTGACTAAAGATGGGGTTTGGATTGGTGAACGGATTTATTGACCATTTACAGATGACCATTACAAGTAACTGTAACAGCCTCACTGGTTTACACTCTCTTATGATCACTGCAACTGCAGCACACATAAAGCCTTCTTTGTCTTCAATGTTAAGAAATGGTCCATGGCATGTCATTTTAATGTCTCTCATTAATTATATGAAATGATTCTATGAGGTCTCACTCTAATTTCTCCTGACTTACCTCACACTTGAAAGGCTTGACTCCTTCATGAATAAGCATGTGTGATACCAGGCCACACTTTCGACTAAATTTCTTGTTACATAACTGGCAGAAGAATTCCCCGTGCTGCTGGTCCGATGTTTCATGTTTTGGAGAAACACTTTTTACAGAATCCTGTACTTGATCTGGGTTCAACTCTACTGTGAGCTCTTCAGGTGGTTCACTTTTTATTGGCACATCACCTTGGATTTCGAAAGTTTCATCCACTTCATTTTTCACTTTGTCACTAAGATCCTCTTCTGATTCTTCTTTCAAGATATCCTGTTAAACAATACAGTCTACATAAGATGCAAAACACACATAATTTCTGGTTAGAAACAGAAGAGATAAGACAGAATATATAAACAAAGTTCGCAGACATTAGAATTAACTTATTTCTGAACCCCTGACTGATTTGTCAGTCAGTCACTGTGATCAGTTTATATAACCATTCAACTGGATATACTTGATCACTGAGTGTGTTAAATCAACATCAGAACTGTTGCCAGCTTCAACTGGAAACTCTCAAGTGATATAACTAAGTTATTGTCAACCAGAGAGCATTACGAGATTCAGTCTTTTGGAATGCTCGTATTTATTCTTACATCAATGTTGGTAAAACTGCATGTATGACCGTAACAGATTGCTTTTTTCTTTAATCACAGAAAATACAAATACAGATCTGGTCAGCCAAAAAAACTAGGTGACCTACTGATATTCATATGACGTCCTCACAATATTTACAAGTAAAGTAAAGTAAGTAAAGCTATCCCTGTACCAGGCCGTGAAGGCCCATAGGGCTGTGAGATGGTGAGAGTCCCATATTATCTAGACAATCGGCTCAAAGATACATTTTATAAATGCTAACTGGAGTATATTCATGTGCGTACTGAATACTTTCTGTGGCTTGTAAAATGACATACAACAACATTTTTATCAAGATTGAATAACAATTCATGAATTTCTAAGCAGTTCATGAGGAAACCTTTGTGAAGTGACATAATACATAATAATTTTATTCGAGGGTTGGAACTTTAATAGTGGCAACTATTTATTTAAAACTGATACAAAATAGATGCATGTTTCGAAGTTTTACTGTCCTTCAATGTGGTCACCAGCATTGTGTACAACCTGTTGGCAGTGATGTGGAAGTCGTAGAATACCTTTAGCAGCGCTTGTTGTGTTGATAGTTCGAATAGAGCGGTCTACTGCCTGAAGAATCCCTGGAACAGTTCTGAAGTGAATGCCACAAAGTGGTTCCTTCATCTTAGGAATCAAGTCAAAGTCACAAGGGCTTAAGTCCGGGGAGTATGGTGGATGGTACAGCACTTCCCAGCCCCATCTATCAAACAAATCAGCCACAGCTTGCCATTTCTGCATTTCTGTCAAATCATGCGGAACCCATCATGATGCAATTTTTCTCATGCCCAGGCATTCCTTCAGAATCTGAAGCACAGTTGTATGAACTAATCTTTTCTCTCGGGCCAGCCCACGAATCGTATGGCGTCGATCACTCTCCAGTAACGCTGAAAGAGCATACACTTCTTCACTGACACTAGGACGACCTGGCCGACGCATGTCTGTCAAAATTTGGCGTCACTTGTTGAAGGCTTTTACCCACCTTGCCACTGTTCTGTAAGGCAATGCAGATTCCCCACAAGCCTCCTGAAGACCTTGATGACACTGTCGTGCTGTACGGCCTCTGGCACATTCAATCTTTATCCAACTCCGTTGTTCCTGTTTCAAAAACATCGTGACAGCACTACATTAGACCACCAGCTAACACGAGGCTCTGTTCTTCTTGTCACTGCGCACGTGCGTGATGTGGAAAGGGTGAGTCCATTTACTCTGAGGTAAGGTAGGTATGTAACTAACGTGTGGTATAAGCAACATTATTTGGTTCCGTTGCATGGCATCTCTATAGCAGTGTTGCCACTATTAAAGTTCCAACCTTCGTACATAAGCCTTCAAAGTTAGGTCCTTGTAATCCAGTGGTTATTACTCATATACATGGTCTAACAATAAAGTCTGCAAACTCATCGCTGTAAAAGTGCTACATATATGTACTACAGGGAGGATTTTTACTTTGTTGACTGGTTCCATGGCTCTGTGCTTCACAGCAAGGAGGGTACCACTTGCTGCCAGGTGCATACAAATTTTTCTGATGAATCAACATGCCTGATGGCCAATTATGTTTGGAATGAAGTAGTTACAAATCACAGACATCTTTTGCAACTAACTGTTTCATTAAAAAACACAGGTCCAACAATCCTTGTATTTACAGCACACCTGACACAGATGAAGTAGGACTTTCTTTCTTATCAGTATTGATTACTGTGCCTAAACACAGATTTTGCAAATCTGTAATAAATAGTCCAGAAACCATTATTTTTAACTACTGTTCATAGCCTATTTTGAGTTATAGTACTAAAACCTTCCTGATGAAGTCACTGAATTTTTCAATTGACCTAACCCTTCCAGCTGCACTATGGCCCTGGGGTCAAATCAGTCTCTTAACAGAAATGAGTGACAGGAATATTCCTGTGGTGTAAAGGGTGGCTGGTGCATAACGCTGACAATCTCACCGCCATTTGTGAGCTGACCATCTAGAAAATGTGGGAGCCTCAGTGTCTCACAACCATATGGGTCTTCATGGCCTGTTACAGGATGGCTTTACCTTTTACCTAGTACCAAAAACTATCTGTAATCTATGAATCAATTGGCTTATAAATTAAATCATTTTCTAGATTAACTGCCTGAATGATGATATGCAGGAACAGCATAATCATCATTTATAAAGCCATGTTATACTTCAATTTACAGAACTTATAACCAGAATAATTCATCCATAATTACTGCTGTCATTTCTAATTCCTTACAAAAATAGATACAATTATGGCACTTCCTTAAGACTTAAGTATTCTGTGTGAATGGTAGCAAATATTTAACAAATATAAGAACCTCTGTTCAGTAGCTAAGGAGGCATACTACACAGGTGGTGCATTAATCTCGTACATCCTGGAAATGTCATATTTTTAAATGTACCAAAAATTTCATTTAATTCATATTCACACACACACACACACACACACATATATATATATGTGTGTGTGTGTGTGTGTTGAATTTGACGGCCGTTTCCTCTAACAGCGATAAGTATCACAATTAACCATCACAACCTATTTTCAACTTACCATCCTTGGCTCAAGAGTACGCACTTCCATGCGAAACAATAAATACATAATAAAATTAAACAAAACTCGTCACAAGAATTTTGCATATACAAACCAATGGTCTCATACTGCATATTTGCTGACCGTCTTCTGAATGTACTTGAAATTTTATTTCTGAGTTCTCAAAATGTGTTAGATCGGATTCACTGCAGATATCTTCCGGGGGTTCTTCCTTAATCGATACAAAATTAAATTTACTGCAGTTAGTGAAATTTTGAATGTCTTGTAACAACGCTCCGTTCTTATCCATGGAGAATTTATATCTGTTGTTATAATTTTTATTCACGCTACGTCGTCACCACCACAACTGATAAGAAGTTGGTTATGAGGGAGTTAATACAGTATTTCGGAGAGACTAGTGTATGTTCATTCACACTTCGTTCGCGAACCAACCTAGACCACGTTAGCCATCTCGGCCATCTTGTCACTAGGCAGCACTAGGCACACTTGGGGCCCCTAGGCACAGCGATAACCAGAGGGGTGAAACTGGAATAGAGAAACGTGAAACATAGGTACGACATCTAAACGCGAAGAGGTAGTTACTGGCACGAAGTACTGGCAAATCAGTCCAATTATTCACGATGTTCACGATTGTTCACGATCGTTCACTACAGTAGCAGAGGACTCGCTAATTTGACCCAGTCACAACCGATTACAACGTAGCTGGGTAATTCAAAACGTGGAAATATTCGCTGGAACGAAGGTAATATTAATTATACAAGGTGTTTTTAATAAACTTGAGGAAGGGTGCGAAGCGCACGCGAATTTTGCCCATGACTCAGCATGGCGATAACATCTAGAATGAAGGGAAGTTCTTACCTTTGATCACAGACTAGGTGTTGAAAATGCTGTCCCCCTGCACATAGACACATTCTTTGCCCTGATGGAAGAGGTTTTGATTTACCTTCTGAAGATGCTATACAGGATATTTTAAATTTACCTACGAATGCTTTCTTTCAGTTCTTCCGTTTGAGGGTTACAGCTTGTAAACTTTGCCTTTCAAACAACCCCAGAAGAAAAAATCACAAGGATTACGATCAAGTGAATGTGCTGGCAAAATATCACTGCTGATAATTCTGTCCCTGAAGACATCAGACAAAGGGCATGCTATTTTGTATGCGGATGACATCACAATTATAGTTACTTCAAAAGATCTAAATACTTTGAATGATAAATTAAATATAGTAATGAAACGCATTTCTAATTGGTTTCAAAATAATCATTTGGTACTTAATTTGGGAAAGACTGATTTGATTAAATTTACTATCCAAAAACTCCGGAATATACATTATCAGTGACATATAATAATTTAGGTCTTAAAGTTGAAGATAATGTTAAATTTTTGGGTATATATGTAGATCGTCATCTTAATTGAAAACAACACTGAAAAATTATTAAACAATTGAATACAGCATGTTTCATGCTGAGGAAATTAGAGTTCATTGTTAGTGAACAAGTCCTACAAATGGTCTATTTTTCTCATTATCAGTCACAACTTGAATATGGTATTATTTTGGTGGGTTCTTCTCCAGCAATGAAAAGCATTTTTGCGGCCCAAAAACGGGCACTCAGGGTTATGTTAAGATTGAGTCCTAGAAGCTCTTGTAAAGAAGGCTTTAAGAGAATGGATATTTTACAGTTCCTTGTTTATATATATCTGCTATGATGATGCCCATTGTTAGAAATCATAATACTTATCAAACAAATAAAGCTATTCATCATATATGCCCAAGACAATTTGAAAAGTTACATGTTTCCTCAGTAAGACTATCTTTGATTCAAAGGGGTGTGTTGTATTCATCGATCATAATTTATAATAATCTTCCCCAAAATATACAAATTTTGAAAGACAATGTGAATATTTTTAAGAACACATTTCAATTTTAATTTCAAATTATTTTTGTTCATCAGATCTACATTTTGCGATGGCGCCTCCAGATACAGAACATGTCAAAGCCCAAGTTACAATAAAATTAATGCAGAGGACGTCATAAAGTTATTACAACATACTTACAACCATTGTTGCAATAACTATTGATAAAATGATTGATACAATGTTATAATTAAATACAACATGCATATAACACTTGCATTACAACTTATTATCATAATAAAATACATATTGACATTGTCAATAATAGAGTAAAAGCATATCTAAAGAATTATAGGTACCCTACAATAAAAGTTTTAAAAAAATGACTAGTGTTGTTTTATTTATCTGTAATTAACACAATAATCCCTTGTTTTCCATTCATAATATTCATCTAAAGAATAAAAAGAGCTCACCTGCAAAAATTTTTAAGGGAATATTTGAATTTAAATCTTGCAATAAATTTTTTATAATATGTGGTAATTTATTAAATATTCTAATCCCAGTGTAAGATACTCCCTTTTGAGCCCTGGTTGCTTTATAAGTTGGATAATGCAGTTCAAATCTTTGTCTCATATAAATGTTACGAATATCTGAATTTGCTGCATACTTG